AGGTGGCGGGTTCGAATTCCCAGCCCAGACCCGCCAAACAACACTGATGGTAGCAACCAAAAAATAGCCGGGCGGTGTGGCAGGCGCCTGTGGTCCCAGCTACTTGGGAGGAGGAGGCAGGAGACTCGCTTGAGCCCAGGAGTTGGAGGTTGCTGTGAGCTGTAATGCCACGGCACTCTACCCAAGGGGACAGCTTGAGGCTCTGTCTCCAAAAAAAAAAAAAAAAAAAAAATAGCAGGTGTTGTGGCAGGCACCTATAGTCCCAGCTACTCAGGAGGCTGAGGCAAGAGAATCACTTAAGCCCAAGAGTTTCAGGTTGCTGTGAGCTGTGATGCCACAGAACTCTACCGAGGGTGACGTAGTGAAACTCTGTCTCAGAAAAAAAAAATTGTTGCTTATTTCACCACAATTTGGTATCTTATCAACTGATAATCTGATGAAAACTGTGGACCCTTGGGGTGGGGATGGCAAAGCATCTTTGCTCACACACAAATGGTATATACTAATTCAGGAGGTTCACAAACCACTCTCTTTTGATACCTCTATGAACCCCAATATGAAAAATTCCCAGTTCAGGGAGAAGATATTTGCATGCTATGAATCTGACAAAGGGCTAATAACCAGAATACACAAAGAACTCAAGCAAATCAACAAAGAAAAGAGCAAACCACCTCATTAATCATTGGACAACAGACATGAACAGATCCTTCTCCCAAGAAGGCAGACAAATGGCCAAAACATACATGAAAAAATGCTCATCTCCCTAATCATCACAGAAATGAAAATCAAAACCACCTTGTTGGCCAGGCGTGGTGACACACACCTATAATCCTAGCACTCTGGGAAGCCAAGGCAGGTGAATTGCCTGAGCGCACAGATTTGAGACCAGCCTGGACAAGAGCAAGACATCCTCTCTAAAAACAGCCGGGCAGACTGGGTGCCTGTAGCTCAAGTGGCTAAGGCACCAGCCACATACACCAGAGCTGGTGGGTTCGAACCAGCCCAGGTCACAACAATGACAAGTACAACCAAAAAATAGCCGGGCGTTCTGGCGGGTACCTGTAGTCCCAGCTACTTGAGAGGCTGAGGGAAGAGAATTGCTTGAGCCCAGGAGTTGGAGGTTGCTGTGAGCTGTGATGCCACAGCACTCTACCCAGGGCAACAGCTTGAGACTCTGTCTCAAAAATAAATAAATAAATAAATACATAGAAATGGCCGGGCATTGTGGCAGGTGCCTTTAGTCCCAGCTACTCATGAGGCTGAGACAAGAGAATCGCTTGAGCCCAAGAGTTTAAGGTTACTGAGACCTGTGATGCCACAGCACTCTACGTAGGACAAGTGAGACTCTGTCTCAAAAACAAACAAACAAACAAACAAAACACCTTGAGATATCACACCACAAAGTCCCAAACCTACAAATGCTGGCTCGGGTATGGAGAAAAGGGAACACTTACACACTGTTAGTGGGACTGCAAACTAATACAGCCTTTTTGGAAAGAAATATGGAGACCGCAAAGAGCTAAAAATAGAACTTCCATTTGATACTGCAAATCCATTACTAGGTATCTACCCAGAAGAAAAAAAAACATTTTAACATAAAAACATTTGGGCTCGGCGCCTGTGGCTCAAGCGGCTAAGGCACCAGTCACATACACCTAAGGTGGCGGGTTCGAATCCCCAGCCCGGGCCCGCCAAACAACAATGATGGCTGCAACCAAAAA